GTCAAAGATATCAGGGTGTGGATGTAGATATGGATATCATTGCAGATATGACACTGGCACCCACACACACAACCACATCCCACACCATCCACACCCACACCCTCTTATCTTCAATCAAACAATACTTATAAATAGTTTTTCATCGATAACTGTGAATTTGCCTGTCAAAATGTAATGTCGAACAAAACAAAAAATACTGGGATACCTGACATAGTCACTTATAATCTTAAAGCAACTCTTTAAGAATATCATGTCAAACAATAAATCGTATATTATATACACTAAAGTATCCATTCACATTAAGGTTTTTTTGTGACATATTGGCCTTCTAAAGAAACATATTGTATTGTAAGGCAAGATACGTGTGAGTGGTACTTTTCTACTCGCACTCACGTTTTCATTCCACACTACCACACATTCTCTTTAAAGAGGAATGGGAAAAATCAAATATGTTTCTAGTAAAGATAAATAAGAGTACAGTTAAAATTTAGGCAAGATATGAGGGTCTTCTTGAAACACTATGTTATTTCCATCGATTGTTGTTCCAGGTCCACTACGAATCAAATGGTAGATCATTAATAACAAAATGCCCACAAAAAGAACACATTCTATGACGTCGAATACAATTTTCGTCTTGTGTAATTGAAACGGGATAATATTGACGACCAAAAATGCTGTTGTCAGGGCCAGATAGAGAAGGAGAAGAATTAATCTCGCTAAAAACCACCCATAGCGCGAGTTTCTCAGAGCAACGAAGTCCAAGAAAGCTTGGTTGAATATTGCGTAGAAAGTCATATTGAGTATTAACAAGTCGCGTAAGATGCGTAGTTCTTCTCGACTAGAGACATACTCGACAAATGAGGGATCACAAGGTGCGTGGTCTTTGAATTCTGGAGCGTCCATATCGATTAGACCACAAATGAAGCGCTGAAACTCACATTTATTGAGTGCACCATCATAAACAGTTCGTAAACCCGTTGCTGACAAGAAAAGGATGCTCAACGAAAAGAGAAGAGATTGATGGAGCATCACACGTGCAGATCTTTTGCGGCGTTCAACATCATTACAAAGGCGTCGAAAGTTCCAATGAGCCAGTTCAACACCAACAATCAAGCAAGTGATTCTAGCCAGAAAGACCACAGTAAGTTGTGCACTGATACAGTTTTTTGTCTGAAGGATAACATTCAAACCAGCAAACAGCAGAAATAAGTAGATTTCAAACGATATGCCAAAAACAGATGCTCCTGAACAGTAAATAACAGTTGCAATCTCATAGAGTGGATACTTTGCGCTCCATACAAATTGAAGTGCAGCTGAAGGTGGGTTTGAAGATGCCGCATATGCCACAGTGTCAATTATCGATAGGACAACGAAAAGAACGATGGAAACTCCTCGAAAAAGCTTGTCAGCGCAGCTCCTTTGGAGCTGAAATGTGGAACTCACGTATATCCTTTCAATTTGTTATTCTACTGCCTTATTTGTAAACTAAAACATACTATTTTTTCAAATAATTATAAATGCATTAGAATACTGTATAGAATCTGAAGCCTTTTGTGCGCGGTTGTTGACGTCTGTAATGGTGCCCTGTCTGTAATGGGGGGCTGTCTGTAATGGGGGGTGTCTGTAATGGGGGGGTGTCTGTAAGGGGGTGGGGGTATGTCTGTAATATTCTCTTTCTCCGTTGCTATGTGTCTGTAATGGGGGGTATGTCTGTAATGTTCTCTTTCTCCGTTGCTATGTGTCTGTAATGGGGTGGGGGGGAGCCGCCAACCTCGAACTTAAAACTTACACTCACTATTTTCTTCGAAAACATACGTGAGTTCCACAAAAGAATGAGAGTACAACTTTTAGGACATTCTTTAAAGTGCCATTTGAATAGTTTTATCACAAATCGTCTTAGTCGGGATTGAATAGGCTCCGCGTTACATCTTGGCATGTCTTCATTATCAGCGGTGACATGCTCTGTTGTTCTTAAGGCCCCCCCCCCCCCCCACTCAAAAAAGTCAATTTTCGTCAAAAATTTCGAAATTAAGATAAATGCATAGGACGATAGCCCGTCTTCAGATCTTTCATAAGCGATAATTTGTTTTTCTCGGTACTTCATTTTTTCCAAAAAACTTTCAAGATTTCCGTCAACCCCTATTCGAAAAACCAGCTGGTTTTGGAAAAATCAAAAAATTTTTTTCGTTTTTTCTCGATTTATGATTTTTTGATTTTGGTACAAGGATTTCTCAGTCCGGGTCCGTCCAACATATTTAAATTTTTTTCTTGTTTGAAAGAGCGCGTCGAGATGCAGGTCACTACAGAGTCCTTTTTTTAATTAAGCTTTGTTTTTTATTATATATAAAGACACTTATGTGACTGGACACCCATTTTTGGGGCGTTTTTTGAGTCATTGGACTTGTGATCTCCTTTCTCCGCTAAAAAAGTAAGAATCTTAAAAAAAGGACTCTGTAGTGCTCTGCATCCTGACATGCTCTTTTTAACAAAAAAAAATTTAAATATGTTAGACGGGTCCGGACTAAGAAATCCTTGTACCAAAATGACCTATTTTTGACCCTTGTTTGGTGAATATCTCAGTCAAACATCAGGGTATCGAGCTGAAAATTTTATCACAGCCTCCCCACTTCAGCCCCAACATATGCTCCAAATTTCAGCCAATTTGAACATACCTGGGCTGAGATCGATTTTTGAGTGGGGGGGGGCCTTAAGTTTTCTTCATTCATTGGAAGCAGGGAAATAACCGACACTCTTCGTCCTGAGCTCATCCTCCCTTTAATGAAGTGACCTGTAAAAAGAAGAAAGTGGATTTTTATTACTGAGAAAGAAGCACTTGATGTGTTTGTTTCGCCCAAACGACCAATGTCATTGCGAAACAAAAAACAAACTTGGCGCGCAATTTTTCAATATGAGCGCGAGTGCACTTTCACCACGTCTTCCTGCTAACACCCGCACATCGAGAGTCTCTATGAGTAAAGTACTCTAGTTTCTTCGAAAAATTTTGTTACTATAATATATTCCTATCAAAACTTTTGTCAGAATAGAAATATGTGGGTGGTTGAAAGGAGCGTGAAATAAAGACCATCATTCACACCTCACATCTTCGCTCATACTCTGACAATAGAGAGTTTTTTGAACTTTAAAATACATTTGGTTGAACAGAAAGGTGGAGGCTATTTGGACGTCCAAAGTGGAATCCATCGCCGTTCTTTAGGAGGCTACTAAATCGAAAAGAAAAACCAGTGTTCGGACCCGTCATTAGTGCCGCTCCGAATTTCTCAGATTCTCACTAGTTTAGGATATTCGATTATTCTGCCAGCACATGTCACTTTACCAAAACAATAATGAGATATTCAGATTGACCGTTATTGGTACAAGCATGCAAGGGTTTCATGAACAATTTTGTTTTTCGATTTTGAATCTCGAAGTTGGAAACTACTCATAGTAGTGTCTCCATTCTTAAACCCTCACCAAGACATAATCGAATACGATCAATAGAGAAAGTATGCAGGATCTGAAGCGTCTGGAAGGCTCTGAAAAATGGTTTGAAACTTGGAAGCAGAAACCTGATATTAGGATTGAACGACTGAGGCTTTTCAGTTAAAACTGAAGCCACCACAGCCGAGAAAACAATCGCTTGGCATGATTGTCGTATTTCTGCTGCTAGATACGACACATTATGGATGACAGACTCACTGGGCTTGAATGAGTTCGAGCCCTACTGAGTTGAAAGGCAAGAAGCTTCATGAGGTAGAAGTTTTTCCCGATTTTTGGAAGAATTAAAGCAGACAAAACTTTAGAAAAAACGTCTTTAAACACTCAAAATGGAACCGTGATTATGAGCTATTAACGTTCATCAAAAACAAAGGTAATAAACGTATTTTACGAGTAAAATTCTTTTACTTTCAAAGTACGAAAAAGGTGAAAAATGCTAGTTTTCCAGCGTTGAAATGCCATTTTATTCTAGAATTTAAAGGCAATCCATTTTAACGTTGCAAAACTGATACTTTTCACCGTTTTCATGCTCTGAAATTGAGAATTTTACACAAACAACCCATTTGGGTGTTTTTTAATGAGCGTTGATGGCTCAGAATCGTGGCTTCATTTCGAACGTTAAAACGTGTTCTTCTCAGTTTTTGTCTGCTTTGGACAATAGTGGATGGAGTTATTAAAATGTGAATAGACAGTCCTTTGGTGAAAAACACAATTTTGGTGAACTCGTTGTTACAAAATTCAAATTACATCTATGTCTCTGCTGCAAGATAGTACAAAGAATGATTATATAAAGAGAGTTAGTGATTTTTGGTTTTTTGACTACTTATACTAACAAATGATCATGAAAAGTCGATACTTTTAAGCCTAAGAAAGATTTCTTCTCGGCGATAAGAAGTTTGAGACTATTAACTCTGCTCAACTCACTATTGTCTCACAGGAAAATTACCTTGTTTATGTGTTAAAATGATATTGTTATGCTTCAACGAAAGATATTAGAACGAAGAAAAACAATACAGCAAAGTTTCCGATCTCTTTTAAAAAGTCATCTTTAACGCTGAAGTATGAAAGAAATTTCCAACCAATATATAAAAATAATTTCTTTTCTTTTCTTTTCTTTTCTTCTTTTATGAACATTGCACTGCGAATGCAACAAATGATGTCATCGCAGTGCAATGTTTACAAAGGAAGAAAAGAAAAGAAATTACTTTTATATATTAGTTGGAAATTTCTTGGGGTGTGGATGTGGGTACGGTGTCGGGTATGAGTGTAAAAAGCAATGGACACCCACACCCACACCCACACCCACCTCACTCGCACCCACACCCACACCCGCACCCACACCCACACCCACACCCACACCCACACCCACACCCTCAAGATACGATGTAGGAAACAGGAATGGTGGTAGATAGATTTAAATTCAATATACAATACCAGTTTGAAACAAGAGAAATATTATGAATAAATCGATATGTTTATTTCAATCAATCTTGAATAACATAAAAAATTACAAAAAGCTAATGATAAAGGTGCTTCGGGGTGTAAATCGAAGTTGATTTATGCGGTAGATTGACGGTGAAATTCACAGTTTAATTCTGCTTATCCATACATTCACAATATCCTTTACACCTGCCTTCTGATGCACAGAAGCCAGATGAATAGTAGTCCGTCGACTCGGATAATTCCAAGCAACGTTGATTGCATTTTTTGTGTGCCAGTGCCGTCGGCTTCGTAACTGATTGCTTCTGTTTTCCGCGTTCTTTCCAGCATGGCTTCTCGTTTGTAAGACAATCCGACCATGTTGACTCACACATATTTATTATCAAGCCAAGAACAAGGATGATGAAGAAGAGACGAATGATAGTGAATCGATACATTGTTTATTCAATAATAAGGCTGTCTGTATCCTAGCATGAAAGAACTTTATTAGAAGGTTTTCTTTTCCACTATTGAAATCACTAAATTAACTGTAAGGAATTACTTTGCCAAAAATAATTTCAGCCACCTAGCCGTGAAAATAGCAGGTCAGACAATTTCTAAATTCTCAGAATAATATTAGTCATCAACAGTAGAATAATACAGTTGGAAGTTTGTAGTGAAGTGTATATATATATATATATATATGAGATTACTTCCTCTTTTTTTTAAACTACGCCTTTTTTTTTCTTCCTACCATAACGAGCCATAGTTTGCTATGTTCTGTACTTCCGCAACACTCTCCCCCCATTAATGAAAAAAAGATAAGCGATGCAATTTTTTTACTTTATATTGCCATCTAGAGAATGAATCGATCGATGATAATTCATCAATGAAAACAAAGTTCTATCTACAAACGAAATACAAACTAGGACATGGGTGTGAGTACGAGTGTGTTTTTGCTGTTTATCTGCGACGGCACTCACGCTCACATCCACATCCACACTGACACTCACACCCACACTCACTGCTGCGTATGGCAGCTAAAAATAGTGTATGACAATATTTACCTTAAGATAGCCCAAAAGACGTCGACATTCGTGCATTGAGACTGAAGAGCTTTATTTACCGGCAATATCAAGTTTCGATTTCGTTAAATAAAGATATCGAATCGAAATGAAAACGTATAGAAGAGGAAGGCATCGTCACATGTCAATTACATTTTTCACTGCTTTCATATCGAAGAAGGTGACGAATATCGTACGATCAATAACAAATCAGTATTTTTCAACACCAACAGTGTACTATAAATTATACTATCTTTTTTGATTTCAACATCAACCTCAAAGCCTCCGTCTGTCATGCATCAATACAATTGCATTGATATTGTAATTGTATGGTTTGTTGGTTACAGCATTATAGTTGTACAGGCCTGTTCTGTTCTAAAGTTAACAACACCTGAAGAATTAGTCTCTAAAGCTCACGTAATTATTCGAGCAACAGCTGTCAACTATGAAAAACCTCCTAAAGAACCAAATATGTGGACAACTGGAATTCCGGATTCAATCATTAAATTCGAATTCGAAGAGTTGATCAAAGGCAACAAATCAATTCCTATTCCACTTTTGATTAATGGATATTTGAGCCAATACAACGATTTCAATGATCACTCCCCACCATACATGTTTGTTCGACCAGGTGGACGTCGGGGAAGTTGTATTGCCAATACATACAAACAAGATGCTGAGTTTTTGTTATTTTTAAACGACAAATTTACACCATATTGGGACGCGTTAACACCTGTTAATGAACAACTTTATTCGCCATCATCTGCCGACCAGTGGCTACAATGGGTTAAAAACCAAGTTGCTTCAAGCGCTGGGAGCAGACTTCGCGCTTTTTTCCATTAAAGAAAGACGGGTCAAAATAGCTAAAAACTCAATCGTTTAAAATTTAAATGATTTTTTCTTCTCGTGCCTTTTAAATGTATTGTATTGTCTTTCGTTCTCTCTGAATTTTGTATGGATCGATGTGGGTCTGTGCGGATGGGTGTGGGTGGGGTGTGGGTGTGTGGGCGTGGGTGTGGGTGTGGGGTGTGGGTGTGGGGTGTGGGTGTGGGTGTGGGTGTGTGGGCGTGGGTGTGGGTGTGGGTGTTAGTATCTATTCATGAACAGCTTCAACCACACCCACCTACCCACACCCACCCACATCCACACCCACACCCACACCCAAAAAAGTCACTCGATAAATATCATAATTTACGCTCATATTTCTATAAGCTTGTAATTCAGCTGACGGAGTTGCCGCTTCATATTCAGCTATTGAACAAATGATTATATTAGGTGCATCAAATGGAACAGTTGCAGAGTATCCATTCGCATTTAAATCAGTTGTCATTACTGTACCATCAAATGGAACAGTATTTTCTGTATTAAACAAAATACAATACTTCTTTTTATGCAAAGTAATGAATGATGAAAAAGTAATTTGACAAAATGGGCGTTTATTTTCACGCTGTTAAAGGATTGCCCGCAGAAGTTCGAAAATATTCGGTTAGAACAAAAATTTTCTATTGTTTCTGAATATTTATTCAAATTTCTGCGAGTGCTGCTTTAATAGCCTAAAAATCAAAAGATTTTATCAAATTACTGTTCGCTCACTCGTTAATAAAACTGACTGCAAACACGTCCGCCAAATCGTTTAAGCAATATTTCCATAGCTAATGGTGTATCAGCCATTTGACCGATAAATGTGAATATAAAAGCAGCAAATATTCTTCAGAAAAGAAAATCAAAAGTAGGTTTTCTTCTAAAAGTAATGATTTTCCTCAAAAGAAAATAGATTTTTCTCCAACTGACCAAGGTCTTTTGATTGACTATAAAATGAGTCAAGTGACCGATGTCAGCTTGAGAACAAGCCCATTTATGAAGAACATAAATATTTACTTTTTGTCTTTCATTGCTACTGTTTTTTTGTACAATTCTTTGATTTTAGCAAGTTTTTTCTTTATTGCTTCTTTTGTAATACCAGTATCCTATTTAAGAAACATCAAATCTAATAAGAAAAACGATTCATTCAAACAAACTGTATATGTAAACTCTCCAGCATCTAATGTATAATGAACAATATATTGAGGAAGAATACAATCGCTATGAAATATAATAAGCTCTTCTTTGTCAGGTGAACAATGTGAATCATAACCCTAAATGGAAATAGTAAATATATTGAAATGAAAACATACAGATTTTTTACTTCTTTAAGAGCAGAGCCCATCATTATTTCTGTACAATGATATACCTATAAGGAAACACAAGGTAAACATTTCTTGAAATTTTTTCAATAGTCTTTTCTTTACTTTTCCTTGTAATACTTGACATAATAATAATTTCGTAACTTCGTTTATATAACCCATTGATAAGCTAGGGTATTCCTATATAAGATGAAATACATTAAATAAAATTAACAAAGCATATTTGTAATCATTTACTTGCTATCTTATGTGCTCGATGAAACTTTCATGAAAAGATTTCTTGATGAGGAATTTAATTCTTTATAAGAACTTGATATTTTGGAATTCAATGAGAATGATAGATTTTTAAAACAAGTTTTCATGTATTGATCGTTGACATTTTTCAAGTTTTGAAGTTTAGACCCATCAAAATTCAACAAATTCTGAGTTTTAATTTTATTGAACTAATCAAAATTGCATTATGGCTGTGGATGTGGACCTGGGTGTAGTCAACACAACACTAACATCCACTCCAATAACACGCACACCCAGATCTATGCAGATTATGAATCCTATTTCAAAGATGATTGAACTCTGAAAGTTTAAAAATAGCAAGTTTTGTGAAAAATTAAATTCTCAATCGAATGAACCTTTTTTTGAAACTTACTATTGATTACATACGACAATAAACTATTTGATTACAAGTCTCAGATTATTTCTGCATAATGTATTAAATTGTTCTTTGATATAGAAACTTACACTAAAATATGCTCCTTGTCCAAAGCGACCAGTATCAGTTGCATGCTCAAATCCTTCTTGACCTAGAAACAAGAAATAACAATATAGAATTTTCTGAATTTGAAATTTATTTACCAGGTACTTTAAAACCATTTTCACATATTGATCGAATATTAGAAACAGCTGTACCGTGAAAAGCTAAAACAGGATAAGAATATTCTTCACTGCGTTTCTTCTTTAATTCTTCTCGTGCTGTACTAAAATCATAAGAATTAATTAAAACTAACAGTAGCTTTAAAAATCTTCACTTGAATTTGTTGATTAAAATTGGATTACAAACATATTCAATCTTTTTTACTTTGGCCCTAGAAAATAAAAATTATGAAATTGAATATATTTTTTAATTGAGTTATTACGCTTCACATTCAGTTAATAAACGATAAAATTGAGATTCCGCTAAACGAAAGTGTAATTCAACAGCTGAACCTATACTTCGAATAAAACTTTTCAATTAAATTTTAAGAAAAACATTTATTAATTTACCTTGCTTATAATTTCGTTTGGGAAAAAGTTCGAAATATTTAACTTGACTACTTTTAAGAACTTCTTCTTCACCTTCCATTAATAATATACCTTCACTAACCTTAATAAATAAGATTCTTCTTGGAAATAGGAATTTCAAAAATACGATTAATTTACTTTCTTTTGAAGTTGTTCAATTTCGTTTTTTCTTTGTTCAGTTTCTTCACGAGTTTTTTTAAATTTTTGTTGTAATTTATCTTTCAATGTAAAAGCCTTAAATTGGTTTTCTCAACTGTAAAAAAAAGGTAAAATTCATATTTTATTTTTATTTACTTGAGGGTGTAGGTGTGGGTGTGGGTGTGGGTGGGGGGGGGGGGTGGGTGGGGGGTGTGCGTGTGGGTGGGTGTGGGTGTGGGTGTGGGTGGGTGTGGGTTTGGGTGTTATTGAACTCCACTTCTGTATTCACACCCACCCATACCCACCCCCACCCACACCCACCCATACCCCACCCACACCCACACCCACACCCACACCCACCCACACCCACACCAACATCCACACCAACATCCACACCAACACCCACACCCACCCACACCCTCTCCTATGCAGATTATTATAACACTTGACAAGATCTTTGAATAGAATTGAAATCATGATCATAGTAGTTATTTTTCTGTACTCACCAGCACTTTCAATTCTAATTTATTTTTCTGAATATATAGTTCAGATTCGCATTTATTCCTCTAATCGATCTCCAACACATTCGAAACGTATACAAAATCAAAGTTATCTGATGATTTCTGTAGCCGGGATGAAATCGTGATAATAGTTGTTAGAATCATCACACCCTTCACACTAGCATCATATTACTTTGGCAAGTATTGTGAATTTTCAAAAATGTAGCAAATATTTGAGTCCTGATGTTAATCTGATGAATTTGAAAAGTCCGTGATTCTTCAGTGTAAGTGTTAGAAGTCCACTACACTCAAAATGCTTTGGTTTTAGACTTGAGTATTTCTAAAAAATTGTTTTTTTTCGAGAAAATATGCAAGTTAGAATAGCAGATAGTAGCAAGAAAAAAGATAAATTAATGAGTAATACAACTAATATGCTGAATGAAATAAATCTATAATATTTTATACGTAAGTTTGTATCATTTAAGCAAACTATGACCATATCCTTTTTGGTATGTATTTTCATATACGAAACAAGAATTTTGAGAGCAAGGAAAATATGGATTATATTCGTAGACTTTTCGTATCTTAATGCTCAATATAAAGATGTAATACACTATGCAAATATATAACTTTTATATGACACTTTCATGGGAGAAATTTCATAAAATTATAGGTAGTGCATTTCGTTTCTTTTTCTTAATTATTAGCAATAAATATTTATGAATGATCATATCTTAGATATGTTTCTTTTAAATATTATTAATATATATGTTTATATCATCTAGAGTCGAAGGACGCATACCTAGAGGATATAAAAAAAAGCAGACAGTCTGTGAACATGTGTTTTTCTGTTTAGTGTAGTAATTTATATGATAATTGCCTTAATGATTCTTGTCAAATAGATAATTTTCATAAATATAAGCATGGAAGAAAACGACTTCAATCTTGTCTTCAATTCTTTTAATTTGAAAATTGAGTATATGAGTTTTTCATTCATCAAAGACAAACTTTGAAAAAGTTATTTTATAGATTTTTATTTTTTAATACTAATCAAATGAAAACTTCACTGCAAGGAAAAATATTTTATATTAAACATCGAGAAAAGAATTTCACCGTGCATAAACATTGAATATTATTATAAACGTAATTAACTTTATTGTCTGATATGGCCTTTTCAGTATATGTCTAAGAAATATATGAGTGAATATATACATGAGCACAGCATATGATATATATTGATGTTTTTATCATAAAGAAACTACAGAAATGAAAAGAAAATATGACGAACAAAATTTATAGGAACAGTATTGATTCTTTGATTAATTTCTACACGAAAAATCAGGTAAACGACAAAAACGAAACATAGGTGATCATACTTTGTCCAAAGACTTATTTACTATCTAATATTCAAGAAACTCGACTTTAACATTGTATAAATGATACATACAATCAGTTTTGTTTCTCTCCACTAGAGTATATTCGATAAAATTGACAAATTTATTGAAGGCATTAAATATATTTTACAATAAGAGCTCAAATACAAAAATTTCTTGAGGAATATGCATCATATTTTTGACTTCTTATACCGCATGAAAAGAACTTAAAATAAGATATGAGTAATTCTATATTTGTTTATTTATCTCTAATAGAAGCAAGATGATAGAAAAAAGAGAAACATCACAACTCATTTAAAAATGAAATAGTTTTAGCGAAAGACTGGCGAAGAAGCGTGAAAAAATGAAAAATAAAAAATAAAACAATATAATTGTGCTCTTTTAATTAGCGAAAGAATTCGTTTATCAAATAATTTATATTTGTTGACATCAATAGTTTTAAGTAATTGTAGACAAATAAAATGTAACTTTCCATTACAATATAGAAAAGAAAAGTATGTGCTTCGTCTTATTTTTCAGTAATTCTTCTTTACAATGTTCATACTATAACTAATATGTATACAAACTATGTTTATGGAAAAGTTTCTTATTAATTTTATATCGTGTTGTAATAATTTTTCCATAGATCGAATTGTTCTCTTAAGTTCTTCATTCAAGTTCCATTTCATAACCAAAATCATTTGTTTCGACATACTGTTGGCTAATGGAATTATTATATACATATTTAAGACTGCGGTATGTTTTTTTTTATTATCATAAAATTGATTTAATTTTAATTTCTCTTGATAGGAATCGATTTTTTTATTTTTTACATATCAACCTGGGTGCGTTTGGCATCATTATGTTCGCTCTATTCACTAGTGTAGCAATCACCAGTAGTGTATTAACAATTCATTTTGCTTCACGTAAACTAAGTAAGCATAGTTCTCGTTTTGTTTCGTAGACGAATTTTTGAATAAGTTACAATGAGGATGGATAAATGCGTATTCATCTCTTATGTTTTAGATAAGACATGTCAATTCGTATTTCGACGACTTGATAAAAGTTCAATTGTTCATGATTCTAAATTACGATCTCTTGCTGTCGGAGATTTCAACAATGATGATCAAACAGATGTTGTTGTGACTGCTTCCGGTACACACAACATTATGGTAATTCTTTTTTCTGATAATGCAACCTCTGCAACGATTAATACATATTCGACCGGTACTGAATCCCTTCCTTACTGGGTCGTTGTCGATGATTTTAACAGTAATGATTGTCTTGATATTGCCGTTGCTAATTATAACACTCATGATATTAAAATATTTCTTGGATATGATAACGGTACATTTATTAATTCAACCACATTATCAACTAATTCTGCTCGTCCAATATTTATCAGCGTCGGAGATTTCAACAATGATAATAAATCTGATATAATAACTGCTAATTATGGCACTGACTCTATTGGTATATTTTTTGGACATGGTAATGGATTATTTGAAGATCAAGAAATATATTTCACTGGCTATGATTCTCGCCCACGATCATTAGCTATCGGAGATTTCAATAAAGACAATTATCTAGACATCGCTATCGCAAATTATGGTACGAATAACATCGGTATTCTATTTGGATTTGGTAATAGAAGCTTCACAAATCAACAAATTTATACAACTGGTCCGAACTCAAATCCAATTTCTATTGCAATAGGAGATTTTAATAATGACCAGAATTTAGATATTGTTGTAGCCAATTATGGTATTGGTAATATTGGTATACTTCTTAATCATAATAATGGTACTTTTACATCACAAATCACATATTTGGTTGATGTAAACTCTCATCTAGAATACGTTACAGTGAATGATCTCGATAATGATAACGCATTGGATATTATAACGGTTGATTCAAATAATAATCAACTACATGTTTTTCCCGGATATGGGAATGGAACCTTTGCTAAAATAGCTACATATGATATATTAGGTGGATCTTATCCTATTGCAGTCGCTATTGCTGATTTTAACAAAGACTACCAATCAGATATGGCTGTGATCGATTATGAGACTAATAAGTTACTGATACTGGAAGGGTATTCCATAAAACCATCCATAAGATCGAAAACACATCTATTGAAAGCTTCAGCACATCCGAGTACAGTTGCTATTGCTGATTTTAATAATAATAATCAACTCGATATAGTCGTTAATGGTTACGACAACAGTGGTGTACGCATAATGTTTGACTATATAAATGAAACTTTTCTGAGTGAAATATCGTATTGGACTGGGAATTACTCTCGTCCACAATGTATTTATGCTATTGATTTGAACAATGACGACCATATAGATATTGTCCTTGGCAATTCAGGTTTTGGTGGTATAAGCGTTCTTCTTGGACACGGCGATGGAAACTTTACAACTGCAGCGATATATTCTGCAGGCATAGGTTCAATCCCAAGTCGCATCGCTGTTGGTGATATCGATAATGACAATCATTTAGATATTGTTTTTGGTAATGGAGGCAATAGTAGCATAGGTATTTTTTATGGGTATGGCAATGGGAGCTTTCCCTCTGTGACGATGTATTCTAGTGTTATTAGTTCATATGCACAGGCAATAGCTATTGGTGATATCAATAATGACAGTCTATTAGATATTGTTGTCTCTATTACAAATCCTAGCGGTTTACTTTTCTTTGTTAATCATAACAACAGAAGTTTTAGAATGATAGAATTTTATTCAACTGGCTCCCAATCAACTCCTTATTCAATTGCTCTAGCTGATTTCAATCGTGATAATCGATCAGATGTCGTCATCGCTAACACGGATTTCAATGAGATGCGTGTTCTAATGGGATATGGTAATGGGACATTTAGTAAAGAAAGGACGTATCCAACTGGTTCTGAGTCTGAACCGTACTTCGTTATTGTCACTGATTTTAACCATGATGATCAACTAGATATCATTATCTCATGTTTTCGCAATGGTCATATACTTATCTTTTTCGGACATGGTAATGGAGATTTCAAACTTGAAAGAACG